GGCCACAGGGGGCAGGCCGCTGGCGGGGCAGGTGGGTCTGTGTAAATAGAGCAGCAGGTGGTTGATGGAAAGAAGGACGGACGGACAGATGACCAGGGTGAAGGCTGGAAGGACAGGGTGGGGCACGGTGGAGGGGCCGACGCACTCCTGGACGTGAACATGGCAGGGAGAGGCCGGGTTGCAGGCCAGAAAGGGGGGCTCTCAGGGCACCCCAGCCCCTGGGCAGCGCCCTGGGGCCCGTGGCAGTGAGGACACTGCATATCCAGGACACTTGTCTGTCATCTCATTAGTGCGGAGTCCACCGCGCACCTGCTCCCTCCTCTGTAGTCTCGGCCCGGCCCAGACAGGGAGGCAGCGACCCAGGAGCCAGGAGGTCACTGGTCTGATTCCTGGATCCCTGGTCAGGGCACATGCCCGGGTTATGGGCGCGCTCCCCTGTGGGAGTGTGCAGGAGGCAGCCATCGATGGTGTTTCTCTCATTGATGTTTCCATCTCTCTATCCCTCGCCCCTCCTGTCTCTCTAAAAATCAATAAGAACATATATTTTTTAAAAGAGTAAGTTCAACAGGGTTGCAGGATACCCAGTCAATATACAAAAAACCAATTTAAATAAAAGAAAATGAAAAGGCTCGGACAGCGGTGGGCGCGGGGACGGGCGAGCGGGCAGACACACGCCGGGCAGGGGCTCCCAAGGCCGGCTCCTTCTTCTTCCCCGGCGGCAACGTCACCTACCAAGGCACGGCCGTGACGCTGAGCCGCAAGGAGGGCATCCTGCACAACTACAAGGACGAGGCGGAGTGGAGGGCCAACGTGGACACGGTGATGCGCTGGTTCACGCAGGACGGCCTGGACCTGGTCACGCTCTACTTCGGGGAGCCCGACTCCACGGGCCACAAGTTCGGGCCCGAGTCCCCGCAGAGGAAGGCCATGGTGCAGCAGGTGGACCGGACGGTGGGCTACCTACGCGACAGCATCCGGCGCAGCGGCCTGGAGCGCAGCCTCAACCTCATCATCACGTCCGACCACGGCATGACCACCGTGCACAAGAAGGCCGGCGACCTGGTGGAGTTCCACAAGTTCCCCAACTTCACCTTCAAGGACATCGAGTTCGAGCTCCTGGACTATGGGCCCAACGGGATGCTGCTCCCCAAGGAGGGGCAGCTGGAGAAGGTGTACGAGGTGCTCAAGGACGCGCACCCCAAACTCCACGTCTACAAGAAGGAGGACTTCCCCAAGTCCTTCCACTACGCCAACCACCCCCGGATCACACCCCTGCTCATGTACAGTGACCCTGGCTACGTCATCCATGGGGTGAGCTGCCTGCGTATGCACGTGGTAGGGCAAGGGGGGCTGGGGGGGGTGCTGGGTCTCTTCCCAGTCCTGTGAAGAGCACCCCCTATTTCTAGCTAGTCCCCAAGCTGAGGGACATTGACCACCAAAGGGATGCAGTCATCACTATGCAATAGGTGTGTGTGCATGTACATGGGCACACATGTGTGTACATGCCCTGTGTTTGTGTAATGTTACATGTGCATGTGTGTTGGTGCACTGTGTGCTTATGTGTGCATGAGTGCCTATGTAGGTGTTGCACATGAGTGTGTATGTTTGTGTACCTGTGTTTGTGCGTGCATATATCTGTGTGTGCTTATGTGCACATGTCTGTGTTTTGTGTGCATGTGTGTGCTTGTGTGCACATGCATGTAGGGTGACATGTGGGGAGATCAGCCATAAGAGTGACAGGGACAAGGCCGCTCAGAGAGGCCAGGGTGGTGCTCAGGGAAGCGAGATGCAGGCAGCGGAGGGGCCGGGAGGAAGGGCTGGTGGAGCCCGTGTGGCTGGGGCAGCTCTGCCTGCCTGCTGGGGTCCCCGGTGCTTGGGCCCCCGGTGCTGGGGTCCCCGTTTATGTCACAGGTCCTGGCAGAGGCACTGGCTTTAGGCCACCAACCTTTTAAGGCTCAGAACCCCCCGCCCCCATGTCCGAACTCTTTGGGGCTCCTCTGCCCCGGCTGCAGGGGCGCTGGGGGAAAGGGGGGCTGGCGGAGGGCCGGGAGTCCCACGAGGACTCAGGACGCCCCCTGCCCCCCGCCTCACAGAGGGTGAACGTGCAGTTCAACAACGGGGAGCACGGCTTCGACAACACGGACCTGGACATGAAGACCATCTTCCGGGCGGTGGGCCCCAGCTTCCAGCGGGGCCTGGAGGTGGAGCCCTTCGAGAGCGTCCACGTGTACGAGCTGCTGTGCAAGTTGCTGCGCATCGTGCCCGAGGCCAACGACGGGGACCCCCGCGCCCTGCTGCCCATGCTCACGCCCGAGGATGAAGGGGGCCCTAGCACCCCGTCCACCACCACCCACTCAGGTGAGGCCCCACCCTCCCCTGCACCACCCCCCGTGGCTGCAGATGGGGTGCCTGCCCTGAACAGGTGCCCCCCAGCCACGTGGGGCACCTTCTCCTTCCCTGTCCTCGGCAGTGTGGGAGTGTGAACGGGACAGGAGTGTGTTCAAGGCGCCAGGCTGAGGGCCAGGGGTGTCGGCCTGGGGCAGGCTTTGGGGTGAAGCCCCTCCAGGCTCCTGATCCCAGGGGGCCCAGGCTCCACAGAGGGATTCCTTCCTGGAGTCACCCTCTGCCAGCTCCCCACCCCCACCCCCTGACCCATCTCAGTGGCAAAGGTCACCTGGGAGCTGGACCACGGGGTGGGGGGGTGCACTGGGGAGGGGAACAAGAGGGGTGCTGAGGTGACTTCAGGGGGCTCGTGGGGCGGCTCTGGGAGGAGTTGGGGTGGTGACACGCTCCCCCGACCCTCACCCACGGGGCCCTCCGACTCTCCACAGGGTCTGCCCCCCTGGCTGGCGGCTGCCCCGCCCTGATGACAGGCCTGCTGGTGGCTGCAGTTCTCCTGGCCAAGGTCGCATAATGCCCATCCCTCAAGGTCAGGGCCCAGGAGGTGGAGGGAGGGTGGGAACCCTGGGACCCCGTTGGGAGCCAGGAGGCGATAGGACAAAGGGAACCATGGCCGAGAGGATGGGGCATAGAGGGGGGGCCGCAGGGCCGCGCCAGGGTCTGACATGGTGACTAAATGGGCACAGACGCGGGGCAGGAGCACAGGTAGGGACAGGCACTGCCAGTTCGGAGGTCACCCGAGGTCGGAGGTCACCCGAAGTCAGGGCAGCACATCTTGGTGGCAGGGTGAAGGGGGGCAATGAACCGATCCGATGCGTTAAGGGCGGGCCTTCGAGGTGGAGGTGGGTGGAGTGGAGGACACAGGAAATGGGCCTGAGGCTGGTGGGGTGCGAGGCCCTGGGGGTGCCTGAGGCCCTGGGGGTGCCTGAGGCCCTAGGGGTGCCTGAGGCCCTGGGGGTGCCTGAGCCCTCAAAGGACGGAGCTTCTGAGCCGCGGGGAGGTCGGGGCAGCGAGACTGAGAGGGATGGGTCCACATGCCTGGTTCCCACCCGCGCTCCCCACACGCCTCCTCTCCTCAGCGACCCGTCCTCACCCCCCACCCTCTGCCAGGAAGCC